TAGGTGTAGGGTTGGTGTAGGGCAATAGAAAATACGGTCTGTACAGTAGAAAAAGCATTACGCCTATGGAGAGCCCCCACAAGGATAGCAAACCAGACATGTGTGTGTGTGTGTGTGTGTGTGTGTGTGTGTGTGTGTGCAAGAGCATAGGCTATTTTGCTTTTCTACAGAAATGTAAAAAAAAAAAAAAGAGACGCTGAGAAAAAGAAGCCACAATTTCTTCATGTGCATAGGAGTATTTTATGTAAACCTGAAGTATGAATGTGAGTGTATTTTTCTAAAATGCATATGTGGGTGTGTTTTCTAGATGGTGTCCAATCTCTTCATAAAACATGCTGAGATGCTGAATCAGCAGAAAGGAGCAATGAACAGGAACAGCACAGTGACTCGGAGATATCAGCCCTCTACTGTGGCCGCCAAGTTCCAGCAATCACTGCAGGAGCTTCTAGACAAGATGGAGAGGTCTTAAACACTCAAGCACACATAGAGATATACAGTATTACAAACTCATATCAGCGCATACACGTGCATTCATGTATTTGTTGTTTCTTCTGATTATGTTTTTTTTATTTAGTCAGTTAAATATCCTGTTTTTCTCACTTTTTTCAGGTGCAACCCATTTTTTGTCCGCTGCATAAAGCCAAATAATAACAAGGTATGAAAAGACATTAGGCAAGCATCACTATTACTGGTGCACAGTGTTTTAAGTATTTGAGCGCAGTTTTTGCTATATGTACTGAGTTTCTGTTACCACCCTAATGCATAAATTAATTAAATGTATTTGCATGTCCGTTCAGGAACCTGGTATATTTGACCCTGAGTTGGTTGCTACTCAGCTCAGATATTCAGGAATCTTGGACACAATCCGCATCAGGAAGGAGGGCTATCCAATCAGAGTGCCGTTCCATAAATTCTTAAACAGGTATCCTACTCAACAGCTGGTGCTTGTTACTTATGGATGCAGTGTGGTACTGTGTGTAATCTAGTCTAGTGCTATAAATAGACGTGTGCCAGTGTATAGAATACAGCATGTTAGAATCAATTATCTCTGCCAATGTGTTTCCAGGTACAAAGCCCTGCTAGGAATGAAGAAGCCACCACCTCCAGATGGAGATAACTGTGTCATTATGTTAATGAAGCTCTGCCCAATCAACAAAGGAGATTATCAAGTGGGTGTGTCAAAGGTAAGCCAAATGACAATAAAACACAATAAACAATAAAGCACTTCTAAGGGGCCGTTCACACAAAATGAGTCTAAAAACGTGAGACTCAGGAATGTTTTTTTTTTAAGTGCAACGCAGAATGCCTCCTCCGCCATGTTGCCGTCAAATAAACAGTTGGCATGCCAACTTGCTACTGTAAAAAAAAGCTTGCAATGCTTGCCCCGCCTCCGGGGTCTTCTGATTGGCCCACTGTTTTGGAACTGACATTGACGATCTGCGCTGCGTGTAAAAGTTGAAATTCTTTTAACTTGACACGGCGTCTCAAAAATGCGGCGGGTTGTACACGTCTGTCTAACGCGTGTTTACATAGAAAAACAATGGAAAAGTAGCATTAGAATGGAAAAATGTGTTCTGTGTGAACAGACCCTAAGGACACCAAAAGTCTACCTTTAAAAAAATAAATAAAACATAATTTTAAATTGTGGAATGCAGGGTTATTTAAAACTACAACCATAAAAACATAATAATTTGAAATAAAAATAAACATTAAGTGAAATAAAATAAAATATAAAAAAATATTATTTTATTTCAGCTAGTTGTCAAAGCCACATTACTCATTTGTGTTTGGAAATATTGTGGAAATATTGAAAAGTTGAAATATTAAAAATTAAAAACTACTTAAAAAAATTTTCAAATTCAAAACTAAAACTATATTAATAAAAACAATAAATGTGTTTGTTTTTTTGTTTTGTTTTTTTTACTCTCAGCTCTTTCTAAAGGAGAATGTGTATCAGTTATTGGAGAGTAAACGTGATCGTATGATGCATGTAGCTGCATTGATCCTTCAGCGTTATGTACGGATGTATTTTCTCCGGAAGAATTTCCTCAAGTTCCGTTCGGACATGTCAAAACTTCAGGCTCAATGCAAGGGCTTCCTGGCCAGGTAAACTACCTACTGCTTATAACTCTTCAATGCCATATCGTTTGCAAATACAAATGTTTGTGGTTAACTTTGCAATATGATTTACAGCTAGAGAATCCAAATACTGACTATGAATCCAGGTGATATTGTGCAGTTCATGAATTTGAACCATACGGGAAAATCTAGTTCGCACTTTGATTGTAGCTGCTTTCACAAGGTTTCTAGTTGGCCTAAGCGTAGTTTAGGTGCTTGATCAACTAGTAAGGATGAAGTCAATCTGGCAGACATGATCATCTTGGACAACCTTGTTAGTAATGGTAGACCACCTTGGTTAAATTTATGAGAGCCTGGTTGAGCAGGTTAACTTGGTTAACCATGTTCCAAAGCTTGATTTGACCACCTTATAATCTGTTTTTTCCTGCAACGATAAATATTTTTTGTAGAAAAAAGCTAAATGTTACAATAGGATCAACAAAACTGAAAGTTAAATGTCATTGAAATGACTGAAACTCTGACTTTTACTGTGTTTGTGCCTTATAGGCGGTGGTTTCTGCGAATGCGTATAAACCTGATCAAGCACCGTGCAATGGTCCGACTTATTGTCAATCGCAAAAGATACATCAGGGTACGTTACCTAATAATGAACAGTTACTTCACTAACTGTGTACTGCAGTTAAAAATAAGTCATTCATTAATGTGAGCTCAGATTCAAGTTTTTTTTACATTTTTAATGCTGGCTCTTTGTTTTGTTACAGGTCAACCTCCTCTTAGCGAGAAGAGCAGAGGAGGAGAGGAGAAGGATTGAACAGGTAAAAGAACAGTCTGTGCTCATTATTAGATAAGGACCAGTTATGTTTATTTTATCACCCTAGTGTCTCTTTGCAGTATTAACAAGTTCATATTTTAAAATATTAAACGTTTAAGCTGACAGAACTCAGTGTTCTTCAAATTTCAAACTTTGAATCCCCAGCCACTTAAACATTTTCCACTTTTCCTAACGAGTTTTTGTAATGTGTTTCCTCTCTTCTGTAGGAGCGAATAAGCAGGGAAGTGGTAAATGTGACTCAGCTGGTTATTCCTGCAGAGTTGGGAGGATTGTTACATGCCACAGCAGGTTATTGACAATTTCCCAGTGTGTGAAAAGCTCTTTTCCTTATTACTGATGGTATTTGCTAAAGCAAACAAAAATTATTATTGCTCAAGCTTTGTTCAAAACCTTCAAACTTTGACACATACCATATTTTTTTCATATTTCATATTTAACAAAAAAAAAAAAACTAATAAAAAATACCAAAAATAACCAACATTTGAATTCAATTGAAGTGAACACACAAAATATAAAAATACAGTCTAATTTAAACTAATAATAATAAAAACTATTACAGTATATCGTTGATACTAAAATAGCACTATCTCTCAATGCAGTACCAACCATTTTACATTCCTCCTATTATAATCAATAAAGCTATCAAGTTTATGATGTTGCAGTTTTGCAACATGTCACATTCCTCATTGTTTATGGGGGAATCACGTTTGAAAATCACATTTGATACATTGACATCTTGCAAAACGAGTGAATAATAAATAATATTAAACCTATGTTTTGGCATTTTTTTTCTTGTTAGCTGGTAGGGAGCGTCATTCAGACTGTTTGGCTCTGGTTCAGGCTCCAAGAATACAAACAGACCCCCAGCTCACTCTTCCACTGGACATCAACAACCATTTGATGACCAAATATATACGCACACATTTCAGGGTGAGTGTCCTACCTGCTATCACACACACACACACACATGCATAATACTCACAATTCACTCACATTAAGGACATAATGCAGTAAATTTTGTCTTATTTGTGTGTAGGAATTGCAGTTTGGGATGCTAACAGCACCGCTGGAGAACTCACTGACCCGACTTGAAGATGATCTTAAACAGGATGCTCTTGATGTGTTTATACTGGTAACATTACATTAACCCTAAACCCTAATTTTCAGCACTTCTCTGCAGTTTTGTTGTTGAATTTTCATATCTGTATTTGATAGATTTTGCGTTTCATGGGAGATCCAAACCTGAATGGAGCTCAAGAAAACCTGTTTGGAAATTACATCATTCAGAGAGGCCTTGCCACTCCACCAATCAGAGATGAGATCCTAGCGCAGATAGCCAATCAGGTGTGGCGGAATGAAAACACCAGAAATGCAGAGAGAGGATGGTTGTTGATGGCCGCCTGTTTGAGTTCCTTTGCCCCGTCTGAGAAGATGGAGAAATATCTGCTAAAGTGAGAGAATATGCATGCAAACACATACACTACTGTTCAAAAGTTTGGGGTAAAATTTTTTACGAGTTTTCTAAGGAAGTCTGTTATGCTTACCATGACTGCAATGAAAACAATGATATTGTGAAATATTATTACAATTTAAAATAACAGTTTTCTACTTTAATATGTTTTAAAATGTCATTTATTCCTGTGATGGCAATGCTGAATTTCTCCAGGTTTCAGTGTCACACAATCCTTCATAAATCATTCTAATATGCTGATTTGATGCTCAAAAAACAAATCAGCATATTTTATTATGAAATTAATAATAAATATTAATATTAATAAATAATAAATATGAATAATACATATATTTAATACTATATTAAAAACCATTTTGATGCTTAATCATTTTTTGGGCAATGATACATTTTTTGGGATTCTTAGATAAAGAGAAATTTCTTTTTTTTTTAATAGTAAAGACATTGCTACACTGTCACTTTTGACCAATTTAATGTATCCTTGCTAAATAAAAAGTATTTCTTTCTTTTTTTTTTTTTTATGTTACTGACCTCAAATCAATCCATTTCACACAATTTCAATTATGAATGAAATGAGTACAAACAATGCAATAGTCCTGTTCTAATGCGAGATTTAGTGACAAAGCAGTTAATGAACTGTCTCTCCCTCTGTCTCTATCAGATTGGTGTCAGACTATGCTCTGAAGGGCTTCAAGGCATTGTGCCAACACAAACTCCTCCAAGCCATGCAGAAATCCTACCTAGTCCCTGAAGCATCTCGAACATACCCTCTATCCCTGCTAGAGTGGACTGCCACCCGCAAAAAAGCACACATGGTGCTCCAGGTGCACTGTTTTGATGGTAAGATCCTGATAATTTGCTCTTACATATATGACAAAAAGAAGAGAATAAATGTGCGCCATGGCCATTGAACAAAACAGCATGGTTAAAGAAATTGTTAACCCAAACATTTAAATTTGCTTCCAAAAAAATGTAATTAAATAAATAAATAAATTTCAACAAATGTTCATTTTTAGGTGAACTATTCTTATAACAAACTGAGAAAATGCATTTTAAATTACTGATTATTTTTGATTGTCATGTCATCTTTTCCTTTTCAGAATGAAATGGCTCAAAAATTCTTCCCTTAAATTAAAAAATACATTTAAAATAACTTCATAAAACAGCATAAAAACAGCAGTCAGTAAACATGATTCTTGACTCTTGACAGCTTTGATTCTTGACTCTTGTCAGCTGGGTTTTAAAACTGATCAGTTTTAAAACATTGTGCAACATAGAGCCCCAGTGCTTCTTAATGAGATGTAGGTGGTGCTGCATCTCCCCCCCCCATGTTATTATCAGGTCAGTATGCAAATCAGGGCTGGTGTCATCTGTCCATTCTTTCTTCTCATCTCTTTAATCTCTTCTTCTGTCACTCCCTATATCTTTCTTTCAGCCTCTCCTCTTTCATCTAATCTCACTCCCGCTCTCTGTCTCTCTGCTTTATTTCACTCCTCTTCTCATCCAGTTACACTGTCTCTCTGTCCTCGTTGTTTGGGCTGGAGCAGATTAGTCGATATATGATAGTGTGTGTGTGGAATGTGGATGAGTGTGTGTGTGTGTGTGTGTGTGTGTGTGTGCTGGTACAGATAAGACGGTCAGTCTGTATTATCTTGACTACTGTTGCCACCCGTCAACTCTCTTACGATTACATAACCATTATTAGCTAAAAAATATTAATGACCTCTTATTTGAGGGTTTCCCCCAGTGTGTTGATCATGAAGTGTTAAATAAAAAATATTTCAGAGAAATATTTCAGGGATAGTTCACCCAAAAATGAACATTCTCTCATCATTTACTTACTCTCATGCCATTCTTTATATGACTTATATTATAATGCAAGTGCATCGACTGATGCTCCATAAAGCATATATATACAGTATATAAATAGAAGTACATTCATAAGAAGCATATAGATTTGCTACTATATGCTTCTTATTTGCTTCTTATGACTGTGCTTCTATTTACATTTTATAAACTGGTAAGTGCAAATTAAATATTTACAAAATATTTGCTTAAAAAAGACATTTGTCATTGTCAGCTTTCCTTTTAGGAAGGCAACATGTACTCACAGTAGCTCTAGTAACATTAGCTTTTCCACTGGGATCTTATAGATTGCAGTTATGATTTTTGGCGTGCCAACATTTCGAAACTCACTCACTTGCATTATAGGGACTCACAGAGATGGATTCTTTTTCTAAAAATGTTTGGTTTTTGTTCATCCAAAGAAAGAAAGTAGTATAGGCTACATCTGGAATGGCAAGAGTGTATCCCAATTTGTTTTTTTATCTTTATATTATGGCAAATTTGGATACTCAAGTCTGTTTAAGTTGATAAATGGTATGCTGTAACTTTTCTAAGCAACCAGATTTGTGCTTTTTACCTGGAAGACCATAAAAAAGCAAAAAGCATAGATTTAGGAGGAAGCCGAGCTGTATCTAGAGACATCAATATCAGAGAGACTTGTGTTTATTTGATTCGAGCCAGTATTATTTGATTATTTCTTTGTAGGCGTGTCTTTCCTGTGTCCTGTCCATTCCTGGACAAATGGAGAGGGACTTGCTGGAGACGTTCTACAACACAGGTGATTTTTTTTTTCTGCTGAATTTTCAGATTTACTTGAAAACACAGCATCTTAAGGCTGGAATACACCACAAAACTTTTGCATAGACAGGCAGTCTCAGATTTGAGTTGACAGATTTCACTTAAACTTGTGTAGTTTATAAACATAATAGACTTGTAAGTCTATTGTAAGTCGTGGCCTAATGGTTAGAGAGTCGGACTCGTAACCCAAAGGTTGTGGGTTCGAGTCTCGTACCGGCAGGGATTGTAGGTGGGGGGAGTGAATGTACAGCGCTCTCTCCCACCTTCAATACCACGACTGAGGTGCCCTTGAGCAAGGCACCGAACCCCCAACTGCTCCCTGGGCGCCGCAGCATAAATGGCTGCCCACTGCTCCGGGTGTGTGTTCACGGTATGTGTGTGTTCACTGCTGTGTGTGTGCACTTTGGATGGGTTAAATGCAGAGCATTAATTCCAAGTATGGGTCACCATACTTGGCCACATGTCACGTCACTTTTTTTTTTTTTTTTTAATCATGGTATCGGTCATCCTGCAGGGGCGTGTCCTCTGAGAGCCGATGTGGTTGGTCAGTTCTGATGAAGGAGCCGGCGCAGTGGGTGGAGTTAGAGGGTCACGATTATGTTCTGGATCTGGTGTGTGACCTGGAGCTGCTGCCAGACTTCCCCAAACAGAAGACATACTTCATCATCTCTACTGAAGACCCCAGCAAGGCACGACCTAACGCGAGCATGTACGCAGTATATTTAGTCATTCTCAGGCATGTTTCCATTTTAGTGCTTTCTTGTCATAACATTTAATACATATGTTTATACGCAGAAGTCTCTTTGGCAGTGGATTTGAAGAGGATGAGGATGGGCCGCTCTCATATGCCAACCGAACGAGCGCCGTTGCAACCAACAGCCTACCAATTTCTGAAGGCCACTACAATCTGGGTAGCCTTTTCAGCCTTTTAAAAGAAGCACATCATACATCAGTCCCTAGGTGGAAGGACATAATGTCGTTGACCCTTCCCAATCTGATTGGCCGGCGATTGTTATTGCACCAATAGGCCCATTGGCCCGCCAGTTAATAACCGAGCATAACCTCAAGAAACACTAAACTACAGCCCTTGCTTTAATCAGTAGTAGCAGATCTACAGCCCTGCATGTAAAGTAGAATCAGATACACACAGAAAGGCTAGATTACATACAGCTGAACTAACCCCGATGGTGTTCTTGTAACCTTTCTGTGTGCGTGTCCTGAGGAGGCAACATTATACAGGTTTAAAGGGTTCTTGCAGAGGTGAATGCACAGGTCATTGATCGTTATTAATCATGTTCTACTTGTTTGTTCTACTTGTGTACCTGTCTTCACTTGGTTTGATGAGACTTTTGGGTTAACTAACAAATGTCCTTTCTTTTTCTGATTACCATTTTCTCTGACCCTAAGAATTTGTTGGTCGAATAGAATGTTTAAAAGAACAGTATTTATTTGAAATATAAATATTTTGTAATATTATAAATGTCTTTACTGTGACTTTTGATCAATTTAAAGTGTCTGCTGATACTTTTAAACATTAGTTTAAAATTTTACTGGAATACAGTAGAAAGATACAGATTTTTTACATGATTAAATGTGAATTCCTGTTCACATTCTCACTTTGTCCTCCTTTTTTTTTTAACTTTCTCTCTCTTCTGTCTTGTTATCTCTTTGTCAGACTCAGAACCACCCTATGATGGCACTCAGAGAGGGATGGACCGGTATTTGGACAGCCTGTTTGACCCAGTTCTGTCTGATGGAACTGGGGTACGGTGTCACCTGATTACCTCACACACACAAATGTGAATAAGAGAGAGTGAGAGTATGGAAGATTGCTTTACAGTCTTACTGTAATTCACAGAGTCTCATTTATGTGAATGTTGATTGTGTGTGTATTTGGCTGGGCTTCCTATGATCGTTTTACACACAGCACTAGGAAATAAGTAAGCAAATGAGGCTGTAATTTTTTAATGAGGCTTATCCCACACACAGAGAGAGACAGAGATCAAGAGTCATGCTGTAAACGGCACACACAAGTTATATAAATTAGATTTCTCTAATATCTGTTACAGAAATAGATTAAAAACAGTTTAATATGTATGAAAGCATGATCTGACTCACTCCTTTGTATGGTTGGAGCCACAATACCTTGCAGTATATTATGCAAGTTTTTTTTTTTTTTTTGCTTTAGTACATTTATGCATGTGGTCAGTAACTGGATTATTCTTTTTCATGTAGGACCTTGATGCGTCAGTTTTGTCTGGTAGGATGAAGGGTGGAGGAGGTGTAGGTGGTGATGAAGCACAGCCTCCTGCTAGGGTCAATGTCTCAGCTGCTCTTCAGCCTGGAGGTTCACACACTCATTTAATGCTCTCTGCTGAAAAGTCCAGCTTAAACAAGCAGGAATTTCTTTGCTGGTCCAGGCTGGTTTATGCTGGTTTTGGAGCTGGACTGCCAGCAAAACCTATCCAACTTTATCTGCATACATACTGTATATACTGTACTATATAGCAAATCTGAACTGCCTGATTTTTTGTCGCAAAATGTAACTACATTATCACCCACATCTTTGCATTAATTTGGATAAGTATGCCCATCTCATCCCAAGTATGCAAATCTCAACTGCTTGATTGTTTGTATCACAAAATCTATTCTAATTCTAATCTGCTAAATGCTACTGTAAGGCATTAAGATATTATAAACATGAAATGAATAGTTCTCCCAAAAATGAACATTTGCTGAAAATGTACTCACCCTCAGGCCATCCAAGATGTATGTTCTTCAGAACAGATTTGAAAAAATTTAGTATTGCATCAGTTGCACACCAGTGGATCCACCGCAGTGAATGGGTGCCGTCAAAATGAAAGTCCAAACAGCTGATAAAAACATCACAATAATCCACAAGTAATCCACACATCTCCAGTCTATCAATTAACATCTGAAGTGAAAAGCTGTGTGTTTGTAAGGAACAAATCCATTACTAAGGCATTTTAACTTTTAACCATCGCTTTTGGCCAAAATAACAGTCCATAATAATGCTGAATGAAAAGTCCATCCTCTAGTGTCATTTCACACCATAATCCACCAAAATATTTGGTTAAAACTGTTTTGGATGCTTGATCTGTACTTATTTCTCTCCTGATTCAGGCAAGACGACTTTTAACTACAGAAAGCAATATTATGGATAGAGGAGACTTATTTTAGCTAGAAGCAACAGTTTGAACTTAAAACCATTTTAATGATAGAAACACACACCTTTTCGTTCCCAAAATGTTAATTGATGGACGAAGTTATGTGGATTACTCACTGTGATGTTTTTAATCAGCTGTTTGCACTCTTATTCTGACGGCACCCATTCACAGCAATGTTGTAATGTAATGCAGAGATATAATGCCAGATTTCTCCAAATCTGTTGCAATGAAGAAACAAACTCATCTACATTTTGGATGGCCTGATGTTTAGAACATTTTCAGCAAATTTTCATTTTTGGGTGAATTATTCCTTGTTTTTCTGTAAAGCTATTTTGAGACAATGTGTATTGTGAAAAGTGCTATACAAATAAATTTGACTTGACTAATGAATCTGGTCAAGCAGCTAGTAAACTTAAGAAACCTAGTAGGGACACCAGCACACCAGCATCCCAAGCTATGCTGATATTTTGAGCTGGACTTGAATTATGAATGCCCACAGACATATATTAATGGTGTGATGGCCGTGTATGTGTAATATTTTTCTGCTCTGTGTATTCTGTAGCAGTGAGAGTTCTGCCACCCATTCCAGGTGCTTCAGTAATGCCCAGTATGCCAGCGGTGCCCCCAGTGCTAGGTATTTCTAATTAAAATAACTTCAGCTTTACAGGGATTGAAATTAAGTGATGGACAAGTATTCATTATTATGTCTTTTAATTCTGCCTGTCAGACCCGCAACAAACTGTCCTGGCCCAACAGCAACAAACCATCATCAACCAGCAAGCCGTCATTATGGTAATAAAGTCTTTATTTAACGGCTTTATAACCAAACAGCTTTCTTTAATTCAGTTTAGTTTAGTTTAGTTCAGGGTTATTACTGTAAACTAAATATAAAACCATAAAACATTTTTAGTACTTAAAATAATCATTAATTGAAAGATTAAAATAAAAAAAATAAAAAACTGTATCATTATTTTAATTTCAACTAGTTGCCAAGACTTGAAGTACTAAACCAAAACTAAATTAAGACTACAAAAAAAATAAAACAATATAGACATATTTAAGAAAATAACAAAAACGCACCACATAGTTACTAAAAATTCAAATAAAGTTGAAGTGAAAACAGAAAATATAAAATTATCAACAAAAACTATGATACTAAAATAGCATTGCTTTAGTTTTTTTATTTTATATTTGATTTAGTTTATTTAGTTTATTTTTCTTTTTTATTAATTTCACTTTTTGAATGTTTGCTTACAGATTTGGTGACATTTTCATGTCAAATAAATTTTTTCGTGTAAAGTTATATGCCTTGACAGTCAGACTGCAATTAATACAATGGCTGACATAATAAAACATAACAAAATAAAAAACACAATTTCACCAAAAGACAAAAGCTAAGACTACAACAAAAGCATTTTACGTCACCCTGTGTCTGTCGACTCTCTTGACATCCTCAGGCTCAGCAGATGACCATGCAGGCGATGGCTATGGTGACCAGTCCAGTGTCCAGTCCACCAATGTCTCCCCTCACCAGCCCCCCAACCAGCCCTCCACCCACTCCCTACAGCACTCTGCCGCCTAGCCCGTACCCCGCCGTCCCTCCCAGCCCCTACGCTAACCTCCCCCCCAGCCCTTACGCCCCACCTCCCCTTTCCATGTACACAAGCCACCCGGCGACCATCCACCCCACCATCCTCTCCACCTCGATCAACACCACCCCCAGCACCTTAGACGAGCAACAGAAGCCCCTGGAGAAGAAGAGCAGCCCCCCAACACCACAGCCACGGAGTACCACCACCACAAAGGTGCCCAAGTATTGATATAATCTAATAGTTTATACTGTAAATCTAGTTTATACTTGACCTTGTGTACTAGCAATGTGTACTAAATAAATCAAGTTTTCCACAAAAATATTAAGCAACAAAACTGTTTTCAACATTAATAATAATAAAAAGAAATGAAAATGATTTCTAAAAGATCATGTGACACTGAAGACGGGAGTAATGATGCTGAAAATTCAGCTTTACCATCAAAGGGATCAATTACATTTTAAAGTATATTAAAATTGAAAGCAGCTATTTTAAATTGCAAAAATATTTCACAATATTCACAATAAACAGCATTGGTGAACATAAGATAACTTTTTCAAAAAAATCTTAAAACAGTAGTTTATAAGCTTACAATAGTGTAAAATCAGTTGGTGCAATTAAATGTTGTATGTCGTGTTGTATATTAGAAGGCTGATGAATTTGTTTGCTTTTATTCATTCTTATAAATATTACTATCATTTTCATATTAGTCTGCAACTAAAGTGCTTCTAATTGCATTTTTGATTGTCTTTAGTTAACTTTTTATGCACTTATATTTATTCAGTCTGTGCATCTGTTTAACTGCTGAGTATGTTTTAATATAAAAACAGCTTTGTTTTTTGCTTTGATGATGATTTATTACCTTTGGCTAAATTCATTTCAGGCTGTTTCATCTAATGGGACATTAGGGAAGAAACAAGCCCCTGCTGCACCAATTAAACTTGACAGCAGGCCTGCCAAAAGACATGGTGTGTCATTGCATTCAATCATATATCTGTGTGTTCAAGACTAACATGTCCAACAATTGAAACATATGCATTTTATGTAACTTCTGCATATTCCAACCCTTTTTTTTTCTTTCTCTCTCAGCTCCTGTTGCCATCACGGGTCCCATGCGTTATGCTCCGGCTCCTGGCACAGAGGTGGTGAGATATTCGGTCTCCAACTCTGAGCACATCGTTCCCAGCCACAACATTAAAGATATCATTAAGCAATATCAAACACCGCCCCCAGAACATGTGCCGCAGACACAGAGGTGTGTTACCTGTGTATATTATTTGTGCAAATGTTTCATTTTATTTCCATTCTTATTATTAACTCCAATGGCATGTGTTTGATGACAGGCGAGAAGGTAAAGCTTTTGTGAAGAAGAAGGACCCACATGATGAGGCAATGCAGATCCTAAAAACACAGAGGGACAATCCACCTCCTCCACAGGTATGTCTACCTCTATCACTTCTGTACTAACCAATTAAACCATTCTTGAGCAATTAAGCATTGCTAGCTACCAATAATTAATAATTTGTCATCGGACATAAAGTTATACTCCACAAGGGGGCGCTTGGTCCAAACTCTCCATAGAGCCGCATTTAAATCTCAGCATGTTTTTGTCTTGTTTAAAACAAACTATAAATTTATTTAAATGTATTAATTACAAGGACTTAATGTCAACATTAAATTAAAATAGGCCTTTATACACATTCCTGGTCGTATTGTGCACAAAATGTTTGTCTTCGCAAACTTTTATTAAATACTTTTTCTTGCTGTGTGTATAACTGTTTGTGTAGAGAAAGGCTCCCACTCCAGCTGCTGTGTCCAGAGATCGAGGCCTCAAACCAACTAAAAGCAGCAAGAAGAAAGCACCAGAGCTACCACTGACTTTACCTCCACCGGGTAAACAACACACAGACACGCATAACTTACAAAAACACCATGGTATTATATGATGTATTTTTTGAAGACTACCATGGTGTAGTACCTTACTATTGTAAATACTATTGTGACTATTTTAATGATACAGTGCCATGGTATATATATATATCAGAGTATCATAGTATAACCATTTGATACCATCACTGTAACTCCGTAACATTACTTTTTGTAAGAGATAAACTACTGTTCAGAAGTTTGGGGTCAATAAGAAATACTTTTTTTCAGCAAGGATATTTCAAATAAATGTGTTTCTTTTGAACTTTCTATTAATCAAAGAATCCTAAAAAATAAAAAATGTCACAGTTTCCACATAAATATTAAGCAGCACAACTGATTTTCAGCATTGATAATAAAATCATCATATTCAAATGATTTCTGAAAGATCATGTGACACTGAAGACTGAAGTAATTATGCTGAAAATTCAGCTTTCCCGTCACAGGATTAAACTACATTTTAAACTATATTCAAAATAGAGAACCGTTATTTTAAATTGTAAATTAGTTCACAGTTTTACTGTTTTTACTTCATTTTTGATCAAATTAATGCAGCCTTGGTGAGCATAAGAGATGCAGACTCCAAACTATTGGACAGTAGCCTACATATATAATGCATTTGTCCTCAACCATCTTTCTTTCTCCATCTCTCTCACGCACCAGTGTCCAGAGATCTTCCAGTGGAATCTGAGAGCATCCAAACACAGCTGCACAGGAGCAGCACAGAGGAGCATTACACCTACACAAACGTTCCCTGGAAGATATACCTCAGGAAGGAGGTGTGTGTTCAATGTATCATTTGTTTATGAGTGTGTACTTCATCATTTTGTGGATCATCATGAGCACAGCACAGGTTAAGAACTAACGCTGCTGTACAAATTGCTGTAGGTCTTCTATCCTAAAGACACTTGGAATCATCCTCTAGTGCTGGACCTCATATTCAAACAGGTGAGTGCTAAATAAACTCCAGTACTGAATAAAACTAAAATAGAATTTGAAATATTTTTGTTATACTGTATATAAAAAATTTTTTTATAATATACAATACTGTTCAAAATTGTGGTCTCGGTAAGATTTATTTATTTTTTTGCTGTTTTTGAAAGAAGTCTCTTATGCTCAGGGTGCAATTATATTATTAAAAAATACAGTAAAAACCGTCATGTTGTGAAATATTATTACAACTTATAATATTAATATTATTAACGTTTTTATATTTAAACATGTTTTAAAGTGTAATTTATTCCTGTGATGCAAAGCTGAATTTTCAGCATCATTACGCCAGTCTTCAGTGTCACATGATCCTTCAGAAATCATTCTTAAAAGATGATTTGCTGCTCAAGAAACATTTCTTATTATCAATATTGAAACTGGTTGTGGTGTTCTTTTTTTCAGGATTCTTTGATTAATAGAATGTTCAAAAGAACAGCATTTTTTTTTTTAAATAGAAATATTATGTCACTTTTAATTCATTTTTATGGATCCTTGCTAAATAAGTATTCATTTTATTAAGTATGAAAGTATCTTGCCTTCATTCTTCATTCCGTAAATGTATCATTTATTTCTTGTATTTAAATTGTGTTTTTCAGATTGTTAATGACACATTTACGGAAGCCTGTGTGCGCATTACTAAAGAGGAGAGGCAGAAGATGAAATCCTTGTTTGGTGAATTAAATTTCTGCTCAATGTGAAATTATTTTCCAAGAGAACTTGTTCAGTTTACTGTTTATGATGACTACACTGATCTGTTATTACGGTACATGTGTTTGTTTCATAGCACAATATGGCATCGAGCCGAACACAGATGTTCAGGATGAAAGTGTGAAGAAAGCTGTGATTACAGCTGCCAGGGAGTCATGGGAGATTTATTTTTCTCGCCTTTTTCCTGCCTCTGTGAGTTCCGTTTCCCGGCAGACTGTTCGTGTGAATGCAATAGGCCGATATGTCACCAGTGTGTGTGTTTGCAGGGCAGTGTGGGTACTGGAGTGCAGGTGTTGGCAGTGTCTCACTCTGGTATCAAACTTCTCAAGACAGTAAAAAGCAGCACTGCAGCTCCAGACTACTTCCGAGTGCTCCGTCCGTACAGGTGCGTCATCCCTCTAGCCAGTTAACCATCTGTCAGCAGTACACCTTCTAAAGCATCTAAACTCTCATGCTCTCCCACAGCTACACAGACATCTTGTTTGTGACCATCCCCTCTCAAAACATGCTGGAGTTTAATCTGATGAATGAGAAATTGATTCTGTTCTCGGCCAAAGCACCTCAGATCAAACATATGATTGATCTCTTCATCTCTCATCTTAAGAAGGTACGGAAAGGGCTTTGAATTCTCTTGTCGTCATTTCTTAAGGAGCCTTCACACTGTCAAAGGCTCTGATGTTAAACATGCAATGCCATACATTTGACTTCTTCCGCAGGATTCTGAGTATGTTGTAGCAGAGAGAAACTTCATCACCGAGGACAGAGCTCTTCTCAGCTTCCATAAAGGAGATATCATTCGTCTGCAGGCCATGGATGGGTTAGAGGAGGGTGAGAAGAAGTGCACTCGCATGCACACATTAAAATCTATAGATCTTTCCCACAATCAGTGATGTCATGCATGAAAGTTTGTAGTGGGGGAAATATTGACACCTAAATACAAGACATTGTTGAGTCCAACTAGTCCCAGAGTTTAAGTGCACTAAAATTAAAAAGTTTGGGGTCAGTATGTTTTTTACAGTAATTAATATTTTAATTAGCAAGGATGCATTAAATTGATTAAAAGTTACAGTAAAGACATTTACAGTGTTACAAATGATTTCTATTTCAAATAAATGCTGTTCCTTTAAACTTTCTATTCTTCGAATCCTGAAAAAAATGTATCACGGTTTCCACAAACATATTAAGCAGCTCAACTGGTTTCAACATTAATAATAATTCATAAAAAACAGCAAATCAGCATATTAGTATGATTTCTGATGGATCGTGTGACACTGAAGACTGTAGTAATGACACTGAAAATTCAGCTTTGCCATTACAGGAATAAGTTATATTTAAAAAAATGTGAAAATAGTTATTTAAAATTGCAACTCTTCGATCAAATCAATTCAGCCTTGGTGAGCCTTCTGTATACAGTGATTTTGTTTAATTGTAAGTCAGTAAACGAAATGACTCTAGAAAATCTCTAGAATGGAGCTCATAATATTTGCATTCCATCAGATGAGCTGCAGTTAACCTTGGGAAGGCTTATCCTTGATACTCCAGGAAATCTGTGAGGGGGGCCGTACAGTGCATGATCACAGCCATACATAAACCGCTGTGTATGCATTTTAGAGGAAGAACTGCGACATTTTCATGGTGTGCATGTGTGTTTGTGTTTCAGGTCAGAGTTACGGCTGCGTGGTGAAGAAAAAGGTCATTTACCTCGAGGAGCTGAAGAGAGGCACACCAGATTTTGGTTTGGCATTTAACATACAACATTTTTTTTATTATTTTGTTTATAGGATGCTTTAAATTGTGGAAGTACACTTGAAATAAGAGATATTTCGTAATTTAATGAAATGAGATATTTATTAAATCCATGCATTTATTTTTTAATGTTAATAAAAAGCGAATTACAGAAATAATAAGCTGTTTTTCAATTTTCAATCAGAAATTGCAAGTCAATTTCACAAAATATTACAAAAGAAACAATAAGAAACATTTAATTGTGTAATAAGTCTGAAATGTTTAATTAGACTGATTAGATAGTATTTTCTTTTCAAATGTACTCCAATAATCTTTCAAAAAAAAAAAGAAATGACAGTGTAAGCAGGACAAATCATCGGTTATGAATGTTTTTCCAGGCTGGAGGTACGGGGCAGTGCAGGGTCGGAGTGGAGCATTCCCTATGGATTGTGTGGTTCCTGTAGCTGCTCCTGATTTCCTGAGTCTCCCAGCAGAGAGGAGAGACGAGCCGAGAGACAGACAGGGCCGAGTGGCAGCATCAGGAGCTATCGCTCTCGCTGTGGCCTCCACTGCGGCTGCACATGAGCTGGACCCATCACTAGAGGTATTCCATATATTCACTATATCTCTGTGACAAGGTGTTTGATGGCTGATATAATGTCAATACATTATGTCATGTTATATAATGATTGCAAATGTGGTGACAATAAAAGTGCTCAAATTAAACCTTTATTAATTAAAGATTGTGAATTTTCTGTTTCAAGACTGTTATTGGTCTGAAGGTATATTACTAATATTAGATACTTGTTAATGTGTCTGTTTTGTGATTGTTAGTCTGATGGATTCGGGGATTTCGGGGACTCTGAAGCTGAGGGGAATATTCTTTTGGACAGCCAGTACAACATGGTGGAGTTTGCCAGGAAACATTTCAGAACGTCAGATGGAAGCAAGAGGTAAAAATTATGTTAACTACTATTATTATACAAAAAAAATAATTTTTCATTCATTCATTTATTCATCCTTTTTTTTTTTTCAAAATCTGACAGTCAAACACAGGACTAAATCTAAATGTTGCAATTTTTTATGTGACTAGTGATTCGTTCAGAGATAAGTCCAAAAAAGGTAAAGGAAATAAAGACCCTGCAGAGATGGTGAAATTCAGCAAGGTACTGTGCCCACTATGCATACATAAACATATTAATACATGCAAATACATATGCACTTACACGTCTGTTCAAAGATTTGGGGTCTTTTTTTTTCAAGAAATTAGTAATTATATTTAGCAGAAAAGTGACAGTAAAGACATTTACAGTGTTACAAAAGATTTATATTTCGAATAAATGCTGTTCTTTTGAATTTTCTATTCATTAATAAAGCTTGAAAAAATGTATCAGGTGTTTCACAAAAATATTAAACAGCAAAAACTATTCTAAGTTATTTTAAATTGTGGTAGTATTTCAAAACATTTCTGTTTTTACTGTATTTTTAATTAAATAAATGCAGCCTTAGTGAGCATATGTATACATATACATATGCATAGAAAATACACATAAACACCCATATAAAACGTTTGATCTCTTGTTTTCTCCAGAACCCTATCCTAGAGTCCCTCATAGACTTCACTGACCCCAACATGAACCGGGTTGCTTCTGAAATTTTCCTAGGTGAGATAAGAGATATATCACAGCCACTCCATCTGCTTTATTATTGTTTATTATTTTTTTGTTATGCATCATATCTCAACATTTCTTTGTTTTTGTTTTGGGTGTAGCCTTAATGAAGTTCATGGGAGATCATCCTCTCAGGGGCCAATCAGAGCAGTTTGTGATTTGCACCTTCCTGAAGGTAAAGCACAACCTCTCGTCCATGTGACCAGCTTGTACTGTTGTCATAATACACATAGACCCCCAGTTGTGTTTATTTATTCATTTTACTTTTGGCTATAATTTTACTAAAATACATCATTGTTTTTGTAGTTAACGGGTGAATATGGACTGATGAAGGATGAGGCGTACTGTCAAGTCCTCAAACAGATTACAGCCAATACCAGCTCTAAACCGTGAGATACACACGTCTTCTTCTTTTTGCTTGTTTGATAGGACTCTGTGTTAAGCTGCGAGTGTTTGATTGTGTTGTGTTGCAGTGACAGCTGTCAGAAGGGCTGGCGGTTACTCTACATTCTGACAGCATTTTACCGCTGCTCTGAAGTGCTCAAACCATTCTTACTCAAGTTCCTACGAGACGTCTGCAGAAGTCCAGAAGTGCTTTTTCATGGTAATTATACACCACATGTACACATTTAACATATGTTAAGCCCCGTTCACACCAAGAACGCTTAGAATAAACAGATGCTAATATCGTTATCTTCATAGTTATCGTTCTTGGTGTGAACGGACCTTTAGTCTCCAAATTAAAGCACTATTATTATGAGGCACAATGATCTAATATTATTTAATGTGTGATCTACAGGAATTGCTAAAGCTTGTGAGCAGAACCTGAGAAAGACCTTTCAGTTCGGTGGCAGGAGTGTTTACCCCAGTAGTATGGAGCTCAAAGCCATAATGGTCAATAAATACACATAAACACAAGACCATACATACCTCCACACCCCTGTTACACATATTCACACAAACAACCTACTTTTCAAAAATGTGGGGTCCATGTGATTTGATGCAGTTTGAAGAAATGATCTCAACTTTCTATTGATCGAAGAACCCTAAAAAAATGTATCATGGTTTCCACAGAAACATTAAGGAGCAAAACTATTTTCAACATTGATAATAATAAGAAATATTTCTTGAGCTGTATATCAGCATATTAGAATGATTTCTAAAGGATTATGTGACTATAGTCTGGAGTAATGATGGTGAAAATTCCGCTTTGCATCACAAGAACACATTTTAACATTTATTCATATAGAAAAGTTCTTATAAATTGTAATAATATTTCATATTATTACTCTTTTCACTGTATCTGCCTTGGAAATTTCTTTCAAAAACATTTTAAAAAATCATACCAACCCCAGACTTTTCTTCAGTAGTGTATGGGATATAAATGACAGTCTAATTATGTTTCATGCATGTGTTTTCAGGCTGGTCGAAGCTCAAAGCGACAGCTGTTTCTATTTCCTGGAGGAATTGAGAGACATTTGAAGATCAAAACCTGCTCGGTATGTCTCTTTTCTTGTGTGGCAGTTTATATCTTTTATTGCATGAGATTATATTGGTAAATTGAGATAGAAGTTGAAGTTGCTTTGTGTGCAGGTTGCACTGGATGTCATAGAGGAGTTGTGTTATGAGATGGCGTTACAAAGGCTGGAGGCAATGGATGAGTACACAATCTTCATAGTGATCAACAGAGGTACTTTATATTAACTATAAAGATAACAATAACGATAACTACACTACCAGTCAAAAGTTTTTGAACAGTACGATTTTTAATGGTTTTTAAAGAAGTCTCTTCTGCTCACCAAGCCTGCATTTATTTGATCCAAAGTACAGCAAAAACAGTAACATTTTCAAATATTTGTACTATTTAAAATAACTGTTTTCTATTTGAATATATTTTAAAATGTAATTTATTCCTATGATTCAAAGCTGAATTTTTAGCATCATTACTCCAGTCACATGATCCTTCAGAAATCATTCTAATATTCTGATTTGCTCCTCAGAAAATTATATTATTATGTTGAAAACAGCTGAGTATAATTTTCTCAGGTTTCTTTGATGAATAGAAGAGAAGAACAGCATTTATCTGAAATAGAAGACTTTTATAAAGACATTATAAATGTATTTATCATCACTTTTGATCAACTTAAAGCAGCCTTGCTAAATAAAAGTATTAATTTCTATAATCCCCCCCCCAAAAAAAAAACCTTATACTGACTCTAAGCTTTTGAATGGTATAGTGTATAATGTTACAAAAGCTTTTTATAATGTTACAAATGTTTTTGTCTGGTAGTGTATACTGTATTAGCATCAACACCAATGCATGATAATGTTCTGTTCATTATAAGCATGCACTGCAGTTTTGTCGTCTGCCACTTTAATGCTCACACTCTTTAAAGCAGCATGGATTCTGACTGGCTGTCAGTGTTTTTATTATTCATCATTGTTATAGTTCTGTGAATGGGCCTTAAGGCTATGTTCGGAAAGGAATACTAGCGAACTGTACACTAAATAATGCAAAAAAAAATTCTACTATGCTGTAAGCACAGCATACAAAGAAAGTTTCAAAAAGTAGTATTCTTTATTATTTCATGACCTCATATTGCATGTTTAATTCAGCGATTGTTAACTTTTATCAGACCAAATAATGAGTCAAAAAGGACACATTAAAAAGTTACAGCTGCTTTTACATCTGGTTTATTAGTCACACTAGAAATGAAAGATCAAGTCAAGAGCACTGCATTATGTGCTATATTTGTTTTAGCAAACGTAGGATAAGTAGGTCATACATTTTGTACTTTTCACAATATGAATAAATAAAGATCAAATAAAAAGCTTCAAGAACAACATGAGTAGTATGCCAATTCCGAACATACCCCACCTGATTTATTCACTCATATTTTTGGTGATGTCATCCAGGTCAGAATGTGCGGCCCCTCAATAAGAGAGAGTACATATTAGACATCGCAACAGAGGCGGAGCAGATTGATCCCAACTACAGCTTCTGGTTCAGACGAGTCATCTGGGCCCATCCGCTCAAGTTCGACAACGAGCTCTGTGTCACCATGCACTATAACCAGGCAAGACATGTCTGTCCTATCACATGTGTCCTAACCAGATACAATTCACTAAAACATCAAACCAGAAATCCTATCTCCTCCATGTTCATACTGATAATATTCAGGTTTCAGTGAGGACAGAATAAACACTTCCTGGAATTGCATCTGTTCAGGACACAATGTTAAGAAAATACATTACATACAGTATGCATTACCATTTGATGTCAGTAATATTTTTAGGTAAGAAATTCGTACTCTTAGTCTTATTCACCAAGGATGCATTAAATTGACAGTGAAGACATTTATAATGCTACAAAGGATTTTTATTTCAAATAAATCCTGACAAAAATCAGGATTTCCACAAAAGTATTAAGCAGCACAACTGTTTTCAACATTGATAATAACAAGAAAACTTTCTTGAGCAGCAAATCAGCATACTAGAATGATTTCTGAAGGATCATGTGACACTGAAGACCGGAGTAATGATGCTGAAAATTCAGCTTTGCATCAAAGGAATAAATTACATTTTAAAATATATTCAAATAGAGAACAGTTCTTTTAAATTGTATTAATATTTCACAGTATTACTGTTTTACTGTATTTTTAATCAAATAAATGCAGCCTTGGTGAGTTTAATGTTTCAAAAACATAAAAAAAATCTTACTGACCCTAACCTTTGAATGGTAGTGTAAATATAATAATTTACTGGAGCACATTTTGTGTGACAATAACACACACACAATACATAACACAATTATAGCTTAATTAGAATGTATCTAAACCTGTATTGTTCCTTCACAATTGTGTGTTTGTATTTGCACAGGTTCTGCCAGACTACCTGAAGGGTCTGTTGAATGTCGTACCTCAGGGAAAGATCAGTGAACAGCAGTTTAACCAGTTTGCCAAACTTGCTGCTCTTCAACACAGAGCCAAAGACAGTCTCTACACGCCTACTATGTATGTTCCAATTTTAGACATCCTTCATTCGCTATGTACTTTTACATATAAATATAATTTGACCTAATTTACACCCTATGAGTAATATCTGGAAATCAGAATGAGAATCTGAAAAAACTGTGGTGTTTATTACCCCACAGGATAATCAGCACCAATAACTGAAGAAATTTCAGCATCAACTCAAACATTTCTCAAATTCTTCTAAGACTAAGTTATCTGAGATATGTTATCGACATTTTATTGTCAGCAATTTATCTAATTTACATTAAAAACAGTAATATTGTGTAATATTATTGCAATTAAAAAAACTGTTTTCTAATTGAATATATTGTAAAATGTTATTAATTTCTGTGATGCAAAGCTGAAATTTCAGCATCATTACTCCAGTCTTCAGTGTCACATGATCTTCAGAAACCCTTCTAATATG